TCTTCCCTTTTTTTCTTTAACTATRTTTCCCTCAAGATGTGTAGTCTAACTTATATATACTGAAGTTTTGTCATATTGCTTATGCAATATATCACGTAAGTATTACATAAAAGAGATACAGCAAAAAAGTACTCATTCCCTTAAGTGAGAGTTGGAGGAATAATGTGGCTAGTGACCATGATGTATGGCCAAATAATCTTAGAAAACAGTACAGCAGATAATACTGGACCTTTTGGATCAGTGATATCTTTGCTTTACAAATGTGTACTGCCACTGGGTTTTACTTCATAGGTTGTACTATGGACATTCCTTTAACCTCTCTCATGGTCTTGAGTTCCAGACSATCTCGCCTTGGATTCCCAGTGGAAGAACACTATCTGATGTCTCCAACTGTTTTGTCTATGGCTCCTTTATAGGAGAGTGGTGGAAAAGAGAGAAGCTAGGGCAGAGGCCATTCCAGTGAGATGGTTGCTTTCATAGGTTGCTGCCTCTGACCTCTCAAAAATGGGATCTAGCTCAGGGCTATAGTGAAGGAAGAGAAACTTAGCTTTTATTGCCTTGTCAGAAACACGTCATGTATACAGAGAGGTGTACCACCATTTATTTGAGTTGAAGATATTAAATGAGATGCAAATATATGTAACTAGTTTGTCTTTTCTTCTTTCCTGCATGGATATAGGATGATTATTTATTCTCGATATGAGTTCTTGGTTATCTTTGGATAGCAAAAACCAAATAGGGTTTCATTCAATCTGTAAATGGTTTCTATGGTCAGCAAAAGCTGTTGTTGCTTGAATGATGGAAGAATGTTTCAGGAGCAGGCAGGTTGTCAGTCAGCTAGACTTTCTTCATCCCTTAAGAGGTGTGCCACCCAGGATTAAACAAATGTTTAAGAACATAAATAAAAGACTAATTCCTGCCCTGAAGACACCCTCACATTCAAATAAAGTTAACTTTTTTTTGTTTACTTTTTGGTGTTGAACCCAGGGCCTAGTGGATGCTAAGGATAACCTCTCCCCTGAATTATACCCCCACCCTCCAAAGTTAACTTTAAACAACTTCTCTAAAAAATATTATCCCTTGTACAGAAAGTAGACTCTAATGTAAGTTTGGATTCATTTAAAATGTTAGGTTAAACAACCAAAAGTTAGATTAAATATAAAAATAAGCTGTCCAATATTTTCATGTCTACCCACATGACTGTTGGAAATACCAGTTGGGCCTAGAGTCATGTGTTCTGCTAAACATCATGCATGCCGGGCTGGGGATGTGGCTCAAGCGGTAGYGCGCTCGCCTGGCATGCGTGCGACCAGGGTTCGATCCTCAGCACCACATACCAACAAAGATGTTGTGTCCGCCGAGAACCAAAAAATAAATATTAAAAATTCTCTCTCTCTCACTCTCTCTCACTCTCTCTTAAAAAGAAAAAAATCATGCATGCCAGTGTCCAGAGGATGAAAGACAGGTAGAAACTCTTAGAATAGACAACAGCAGCCRTGGGAAGCCCAGGCCCAAGTGGAACGAACACACCAGGCCTTGGTACAGCTGCCTTGGGAGAAAGGATCTCTAGCACCCTGAGATCCAGCACCAGGAGAGTTTGCTCCCCCATCCCCCCARATTGCCTCACTTATTGACCAAAGAAACTTAGTACAGATTTTGATAGGGGGTAGGGAGGGAGTATAAGTAGTTGAAGTTCTTGCTTGATTTAAATGACAATGACAAGAGCAACACAGTTTAATGAAGTAAGGCCCTTTGTAGTTGAAAAGCTAAATTCCCACTTAAGCATAATTTGAATTTACCTCATTTACCCTTTTTCAAAAGATCCCAAAAATTCCACCTTATTTATTTATTTATTTAGATTACAACATAGACTATAGGGTAAGGGTGGAAAAAAAATCACTAACAAAGAAGAATAGCAATTTGGTAAACACAAGTTCTTAGTTTCATCAAAAGGATGACTGGTAATTTTGGTCTATTGTGAATACTAAAAGATATCTCTTTAAAAGTTAAAAATATGAAAAGTACTTAAAGATAGGAAAGCCAGGCACAGTGGTGCCTGCCTATAATCCCAACCACTTGAGGATCACAAGTTCAAGGCCAGTGTGGGCAACTTAGGGAGACAACTTAGGGAGAAATAAAAAGGACTGGGGATGTARTGCCATAGTAGAGCACTTGCTTGGCATGTACAAGGTCCTATGTTTGATCCCCACAATCACACACACATACACACACACACACACACACACACACACGCACACAAAGTTACAATATATTTTAGCGCTACCTGACTTGAAGTAATACACTAGAGTCTGGATTCAAATTCCAAGTAAAGCCAATTAATACACAATAATGCATGATCAGGTCATTCATTTTCCCTCAGAACTCAGTGGAAATCTGATCTCCTTCAACTTGTCTAAAAGTTTGAAGTCACCTTAGTCAGCAGCTCTTATCTTCTCAGCCACAAGTGGATTTCTTTAAAAACCAATGCAAGTCATATTGTACTTTTAAGTTTTCTAGTAGCCACATTAAAAAAAAACATGAAATTAATGTTTATAACATATTTCACTTAACCATATGACCAAAACATTACTTTAACAGGAAATCATTATTAAAATTTTTTGAGATTATGCATTTTTTCCCCTACTGATGTCTAATTCCTCCATGTGTTTTTCACTTTAACAGAGGAATTGAGAACAATTAAGGATGGTTGTCAGGTTTCTACCATGGTTACAGGAGCCAATAATAGTCAAGTTAAATACAGGGTTGGGGGCAGTGAGCAGCATGACTCCAGGTGCCTTTGATACAAGCTGTTGGATGTCTGTTAGTCTACTTTGACATGGAAGAGTTGTATTGAGTGAAAAGCTACAAGGCTGGGTAGGAACACAGAATACTTATGGTACCAAATGATAACTTTAAGCAATAGTGATGTTAGAAAGTCTTTTTTTTTTTTCTCTCTCTCTCTCTTTAAATCTCACGAATGATGTGACTGATTGGTTGTGTGATGGGAATCAAACCCAGGGAATCATGCATGTTAGGTAAGCATTTTACMACTGAGCTAGGGTAGAGAATTAAGAACATATTAGCATGTTTAAGGGACATTGTGAATAAACCTGTCCTGGGCCTGATGGGATTAGTGCTGGGATCAAAGCTGGCCTCATGCAGTCTGCAGACATGTTTTGTTTGGCTTTTATAGGGTTGGATCACACAGTGTTCTAAATTTTAGTTAGGTGCCAACATTTCCACAGAAAATCCAGATTTCTGACTTTTTAATAAAAGGGGGTTGGGAGGTAGACTTGGCAACATTGCTGGTAATAATCCACTGAAGCATATGCCTTTCCTCTCCAATGAATCTGTTTTACTTCTTTATGTTTGTCTGGGACTTCTAGGCCAAGTATCAGTAGGTAATAAAGGTACAAAGATAAATTAGTGGCAGATTATAGAGGGCTTTGAATACCAAACCAAGAAGTATAAAATGTAGGCAGCAGGCAGCCTTTGAATAAGGGATTGACGAGATTAAACCCGTATTTAGAAGGATTTTTCTGGACCAGTGTGAAAATTGAGAAGTTAGAGAACCGTTACCAATTTTGAAAGGGGACAAAAAAAATGAGATGGTGTGGGAATACACAAATGAACTTTTAAAACATGCAAAGTGGGGTGGGAGGGGGATAAAAATCAAAATAGAAGCATCTCAAGGAGAGAGACATCATCTAGAAAGGCTGCATTGGAGCTACCTGGGCCATTGAGGTGGGTGGAATATTTGCTTGCAGAGTTCCCAAACTTAGGCCAGTGTTTGGTGTAAGGGACAGTGAATGTAAGGACATTCCAAATAGTCTTGCTGTCTGTGGCACCGAGATCACTGTAGTCATACTGTTCTAAGTGGATTGTGATTAAGGGAAAATATCTTCCCCTCACCCCCTTTTTCCACTTTTAGACCACCTGGCCCCCAAAAGATCCTTTTATCAAAAATGGGCTAAAATTAGAGCTGGGGTTGTAACTCAGTGGTAGAAGGCTTACCCTAGCATGCACTATGTTCAATCCCCAGTTCTGCAAAATAAGAAAAGACTAAAGTTAATAATCTGATAACTATTAACCATGTGCCAGAGAGGTTCTAAGTTGTTTGTTTACAGTACCAGGATTCAAACCAGGGCTTCATGAATGCTAGGCAAGTACCCTGCCACTGAACTAAACCCCTAGTGCTCTAAGTTCTTTTATTTAATCCTCATAAACACCCTTCAAATAGGTACTATTGCTATCTCCATTTAATACACTTAGGAAACTGGAAACTGAGACCCTAAAAGTTAAGAACTTACCCCAAATCACTCTGAAGGATGGGACCAGGACTTGAACCCAGACTTGAACTCTGACTTTCCAGAGGCTTAAATGTTTTAACCACTCTATGAAACTGTTCTTGTATCTGTTTTAGTGCTATACAAACAGACAACTAGGGGAACTTATGCTTTCATCCAGGAAGCTCTGTTGTAACTAATTTCAGGTGTATCAGTTTGATTCATGTCCCCTACAAAAAATAAAATTCCAGAATTGACTCTCTTTCAGGGGGCAGATAATATGCTGAGTCCTTGGGTAACCTTGAGAAAACAAGAGTATGTAGTACATTCAAAGATCTGTTCKCTTCTTTGAATGGCTCAATATTAGCTTATAAAGTATGTGCTGGTAACCCTCAACAGGAACAAAAACATTCTTACAAGAACTCATTTCTTTTTTGTGTAGGTGTTGTGGTGCTGGGGATTGAAGCCAGGATTTTGTGTATATTAGGCAAGCATTTTGTACTGAACTACATCCCCAGCTCTATTTTTTTTTAATCAAGCCAAATCATACTAGATTTTCTTCATTGTTTTTATGAAAATTTATGACAGAATAAATATTTTAATTGGGAAGAGAGTGAGAATCCATAACAGAGAAGGCACATGTTTGATGAAGCCTAAATCCTTGTTAACTTTTTCTACCATATTTAGTGTGGTTTCTTTCTCCTTGGTCTACAGCTGAAACACGTGAATGAAAGATTTCAAGATGAAAAACACAAAGAGGTGGTTCTCATGTGCATTGGCATCACTTCTGGAGTTGGGCGACTTCTCTTTGGCMGGATTGCAGATTATGTACCTGGTGTGAAGAAGGTTTATCTACAGGTACTTTCTTTTCTTTCACTCCTAATTTATTCCTATTGCCTGGTAGCTCATTAAATGAATGTAAATTTTAAAATTCTATAAAAAGAAAAAAAAAAACTTTCTAGACATAACTTCCACAGGCAGTTTTTCAAGGACAATACCAGTCAAGATTGAGTTTGGACAACATGAGAAGTTGGCAATCAAACAATTTTCTTTGTTTTGTTAGGGAATTCTACCAAAATGTTTTTGCCCATGGCTTCTTCTAAGAAAAATTCTTTAYTTTTGGCACAGTTCTCATAATCATGAACAGATCCAGTGCATTTTACAATATCTTATGAAATTTGGGGTGTGTATGACTTTTTGCCTGCTGGGTGTTGTGGGTGGGCATAAACAAATGCTAATTTCAGGATCATTCATGACACTTAGGCAACAGATATTTAAGTGACTCCTTCAAGCCAGAAAGTGTGCTACATGCTGCAGATGAAAAGTCTGTGATACTTAGCTGAAGGTCCCATGGGAAGACAGATAAGACAGTGTTACAGTACAGTGGAATAATGAGTATGTTATGTAGGTCTCCTGGGAAAATCTGAATCACTAGTTAAGAAATGAGTAGTAGTTAAAGGGCTGGGGGTGAAGTTCAATGGTAGAGCACTTGCCTAGCATGCATGAGGCCTTTGGTTCAATTCCCAGCACCATACACACATAGCAGAGGTGAGTGGTTGTTATATATGGATGGGAGGCTTGCTGGCTGGCTGAGTTACACAGTTAAGGAAGATAGGGAGGTGTATTCCAAACAAAGAAAACACGGGGTAAAGATGTGGAGATGTGTCTGGGAAACTGAATGTTTGAATGGAATAAAGAGAATAGTTGATGTTTGGGCTAGGTTGGGAAGGAACTTAATGTGCATGAGAATGGATGAACTTAATTCTGCAATCAGGAGTTGTTCACATTTAAGGATTTTAAGCAAGGGAGTGACATGAGTTGTGTTTTATAAAGATTAATTGGATAGAATGGAGTGGAGGAAGAGGGGCAAGAGTTGAGGAAGTCAGAAAAGGCCACATATGATTCYATGTATATAAAATGTCCATAGTTGGAAGATCCATAGAGATAGAAAGTATATTGGGTGGTTGTCAGGGGCTGGAGGGAAGGGGGGATTGGTGAGTAATTGATACTGTGTGGGGGATTTCTTTTTCGAGTGATGAAAATGTTCTAAAATTAAATGATTTTGGTGGTTCTATGATGTTGTGAATAGTACCCATTAAATGGGTGAGTTTTATATGTAAATTATRCACACACACACACACACACACACACACGAGTGGAAGCATGGGAACTAGTTGGAGATTATTGAAGTAGTTTTAGCAGGAGAAGCCAAGGCAGAGATGCCAGGAGTAAATCAGGGATATGAGAGTGAGTGTTTGGTGGAGCCACTTAAACTGGGTTTGAGATTTGTGACCTGGGTAGCAGAGTAGATGAATTTCCACTCTTATCAGTGAAGGAGGATGATGAATTCAATTTTGCTGTATCAAATGTCTGGTGCCTGTGAAGAAGCCAAGTTGAGCTTGGAGCTCCTGGAGGAGTATGGATAAGAGACTGCAGGACTTTGGTATTCATGGGCTTATGGAGTGAATGGAGGACTAGGGACCTGCAAGGAGACCAACAGGGAGTAGCTAGCTTGGAGAGAAAAATCCAAGAATAGAGTGTTTCTAAGGGCAGGAGGCCAGCACTACGTCAGTAGCTAGTGAGAAAGAGACTAATAGATCTTCACTGATTTAGCAACAGAGAGGCCATTAGTGACCTTATAGAGAACAGTTTCAATAGAGTGGCAAATACAGAAGATTGGACATGATTAATTGAATAAATGAAAATATAGACAACTGTACCCAGAAAACTTGGCTGCAGAAGGAAGGGAAAGGAGAACCATGAGGGGATTTATGATTTGGGGGAATAAATATTTTGACTCATGCTAGTGATCAGAGGCAGTATTTGAGCAGTGCCTTGAAGAAAAAGTAAAATTTGGAAATACGAAATTAAATGATAAAAGCATTTATTACAGATATATCCACTGAGGAACAGAGAGGCTGCCTCACCATGGGTGTTTGTGTGCATGTAGGTCCAGAAGGAAGTACAGACAGAGGTGGTGTGCAGTGCTGGGAATTAAACCCAAGCCCTCATGCATATTTATGCACTACTTTTAAAAATGTATTTATTGAACAATGATTGTGCCCCTCTTTATCAATACCTTACTATGGACATCCTCACTTATGGTTGTGTAGTGAACACGTAGCTGAATGTTCAGACTAGTTCCCAAGTGTCAAGAGAGCCTTCTAATGGGCATTTATTGTACTACAGAGCTTCATTTTATTTTTCAAAAAATTCTGAGTGCCTTCTGTGCCCCAGACACCAATCCAGATATAAAAAAGAGAGACATAGTCTCTRAGTTCTTGGAGCAGGACTTAGGCAGGAAAATGCTGGGTGTGTTTGGGATTCAGAAAACAGGGAGCCTCACAGAAGAGGTTGGAAAGCTGGGAAGGACAGTGATCCAGGCCTTGAAAACCAAGACAAGGACATTTTACTGTAAGTAAAGTGGGCCCTTGTTGGAGAGTGTTGGTCTGGTTTTACATTCTAAAACTACTGTACACRCGCTGTGTGTAAAGGGTGGATTAGAGGAAGCGAAGCAAGAGTGCGGGAGGGGAGGAAGAGCAAGTAGGAATGAGAAGTGGTCCAGGTGAGGGATTCTGGAGCCCATTCTAAGGCTCAGAGGATGGAGTCATGCTATATTTTATACATAAACATTCTCCAGAATAATTTCTGAAAGTTCTTTCCCCCTACACATGGGRCAGGCAGGTCATTTGCAACACTTTTGTGAGGACATTTTAATACTTAGGTATTTTGAGTAATTTACAAAAGAAAATAGAACTTTCCTAACTTTCCCATATTTGGTCTGTTAGATGGCAGTGAGTTAAAAGTCAATATTGTGGATCAGATATTTTATTTTCAATGGAAAAGTTAGCCACAGACTGGCTTCTTTAAGCCCTTATGTAAATTTTTTTCATCCAAATGTAGGGCAGTAGTATGTGCTTGGGACACCCAGTAGTTTGTGCTGAGTCACGGGGGGATGACTGGATTTTAAAGAGGCTGGTGGAGGAGCTGGAAAGTCCTTAGGTGTGTCCTGGGACTGCTGGGAGCCACTGATGGGCTTCATTTGTAAGCACAGCAGCCCAAGAGACAACACAGCCCACCAACACAGAGCCCAAGGGTGCTCTACCACTGAGCTACACGCCCAGTCCTTTATTATTTTTTTATTTTGAGAAGACAGAATCTCACTAGGTTGACTAGGTTAACCTCATACTTGCCAACCTCCCACATCAGCCTCCTGAGTCACTGGGATTATACTTTCTTCTGTTTTTCTTGGCCGAAGATTTTTGATTCTTTGCTTCTTATTGGCTGCAGCAGAGTCCAGCTTTGCTGGTATATACATTCCTTTTTCTTCCTCCCTCCTTCCCTGGCTGCCTGCCTTTTGACCCAGTCTTTCTGGGCTGGAATGCCCTTTTGCTTATCTCCTTTTCATTCCTTCGTTGGTGGTGGGTTTTCTCAGACATACGTGCTCCAGACTTTTGTCTCTTCAGGGGGCTGTGGCAGTTCATTCTTCCTTTTTCCCTTGGAACCACTTCTGAGTAGCTGCTAGTCCTAGAACACTGGGTGACATAAACACACTTCACAGCTCTTCCACATTTTAGGACACAGTCATCTCAGGTTTGGGAGGCTGCAGAGCAGAGGAGGATAGGTTCTGAAGTGAGTGTCTCACTAGCAATTTGTCTTTAGAACCACAGAGGACAGTGCTGAAGATACTTGGTGACTGCTTATGTAAAGTACTAGCTCAGAGTAGATGGTGAAAAAATCCTTGCTTTTATCATATTTTAATAATCATATTAAATACAGAAGGAAGATCCCAATTTGGAACAGTTCTCAAGAAAGGAGACCGTGTTTTCCCTGAATTAGAGGTCTTTGCTTATAGACAATCTTTTGTTTAGGAATACACCTGGTACTTTTTGCTTAAAAGTTCTGAATTTGAACTTTCATCAAGATCCGAGTTCCAGCTATTTTTAACCTAGTAATTCTAAAGGCTGAACAAAGTCCACTGCTCCTGGTAGAAGGATACAACTGAATTGCATTATATAGAATGATAATAGTTAAAGGAAATCTTGCAAAGTTCTGGAGTATATCCTTCATTGGAGAGGAAAGGCTGTGTTTACCCTGCTTTCTTCCTACCACTTTTCTTAACCTCACAGGTCTGTCTTTCTAGTCATGATTAAATGACTACAGATCTATCTGTCTTAAAGGTGTAATTTTGGAAGGATGAAAGGTTTGAAGGTTATAATTGTGTATGAAAGGATTGAGCGGGGCGTGGTGGCACACCTCTAATCCCAGCTACTTGGGAGGCAGAGGAAGGCAGATGACAAATTTGGAACCAACCTGGGAAACTTAGTAGGACCCTGTTTCATAGGACTGGGGATGTAGCTCTATGGTAGAGGCTTGATTTGGAGCACTTCCATTGTGTCATTTCTGTATGACATGGACATATTGAATGTGGATATCATGTCCATGTGTGTGTGCATAGGAATGGGAGGGTTGCAAATCATTGTCAGGAGGTTATTCCTGAGGAGGAGAGAACATGGGTTGAGTCCAGAAGCAGGGAGGGAAGCCTTTCGTATATTACAGTGTACGTTTTTCTAAAGTTTGAATTATTTAAAGAATATATTCAGGAGTTACATTTGTAATTTATAAAGGATCGTGGATTTTATATCCATCTTCCTGTATCAATTTCTTATTCCACTTAAGATGCAGTGGAGTGGCCAGTGTTGTCCAATTTTGTTTTTTATTCCACATTAGCATTTTACATTTTTCTAAACCTTAGAATGAGAGTATAGACTTTACCAAATGGAAGCTAATTCTAAATAATATCTAAACACTTAACTATTCCCCAGTCAGAATACAAGTCAGAGGTTCCATAGTCTTATCTAGGCTGTGGCACTGGTGTGAAGGGTCAGATGCACAGTAGCACTCGTGTGCTATAGAGCACAGGTGAGTGGGCTCCTGGCAAAGCACTTGGAAAGTGTGGTGGCCACTGTTTGCTTCCAAAACAGTTAGCCACCTGGCTATGTGACCTGAATAGTTCCCTTTAGTTTGTGAGTGACCAACAGGACTTTTGCCAGCTGCTTTTCTGCCCTGGGTGTCTAGCTAGAGGATATGAAAGTCTGGAAACTTTATATTGAATAAACCTATTAGAAACAACACTTGAATCTAACTGCGCCAATCATGTGTCTGCACAAATGCCTTCTGCTTATTCAGGTGTAGCTCATTTTTCCTCTTGAGTTATACTTAGATTCCTGAGCCAATCTTAAACTGACATGTCTCYAAGACTCCAAGAATGGCTATCTTTGGATAGAAATGGGGAAGGTGGGCTGGGGATGCAGCTCAGTGGTAGAACACTAGCCTAAGCATGTACCAGGCCCTGGGTTCAATCCCCTAAATCACCATCCCAAAATAAATAAATAAAWAAGAAAGCATTAAAAAAAACAACTTTTCTCTCATGTACATAAATTAAACTCAAGTTGCGCTTATTCTTCTAGAGCCTATGATATTATGACAAAAAAAGCTTCCTTGGATGCTTTTAAGAAAACAAAAGTAATATATACATCTAAACAGTCCTTTTCTTATTAAGGCAGTACAAACCTAGAAGAGAATTAAGGACCTCTGAATCCCCTATTTAAATTTAACCCGAACTGCTGTGTTTAAGAGAAAGAACAAAGATTGAATGTTAATGCCAAATTTATTCATCTTTCAAATTGTGTCCCAGTATATACAGATCAGTATTTGAGTGTGAACCAATATTTATTTTGGGAGATGATAAAGAGAGACTGGAGGCTCCTAGGGACACACCTGTAATCCCAGCTATTTGTGAGGCTGAGCCAGGAGGATTGCAAGTTCAAGGCCAGCCTGGGCAACTTAGTGAGGCCCTGTCTTAAAATAAACTTGTTTATAAAAAGAGCTGGGGATGTTGYTTAGTGTTAGAGTGCTTGCCTAACATTTGCAAGGTCCTAGATTCAATCCCCAGTATCTCTAAAACAGCATTTCTTCTGCTGATTAGTAAATTGTCCAGTTTTAATTAGTTTTTGCCTAGAAAATTTAGTGTCTATTCCCTWCCATTTTTGTACTTACTATACTTTGAACTCTAGAATAATTTATTTGCACTTACTTATTTAAATGTCCATTGCTTTATAACCCAAGGGTAAAAATCATCTCTTATTCATTATTGAAATGTCTGCATATAACACAGTGTCTACCAAATAGCAGGCAAAATCAGGAGTTTGATTCTATTAGCTAACGCTAGGTTGAAGATGTTTGGTGGTTCCAAATAAATATTCTGAACCTTATCTCTGGGATGATTCAACATATCTTTAATCTTTTCAAGTAAAGTATGATAGTTTTGAAGAATAAAAAATATCAAGTGCTTGATGAATGAATTTGAGCCAATTGAGCACTGACTAGGTGCAAGATCCTTAAACCTCATAATCTCTAGTCCAAGGATAAATTTCTTATAGATTCTGACTTCAAAGAGTTTGCAGTAAATATATAAATAGTTTATCCTTGTCTCTAATGGATATTTTAAGAAAATTTGAATGGAACTCAGGGATCTGGATATGTATTTAAGATTGAGGGGATGGGAAATAAGTAGGGTCACTTTTTCCAAAAACAGAGTTGACATACGGTCATCTATCCTAGGTACTTTCCTTTTTCTTCATTGGTCTGATGTCCATGATGATTCCCCTGTGCARCGTCTTTGGGGCCCTCATTGCTGTCTGTCTCGTCATGGGTCTCTTCGACGGATGCTTCATTTCTATCATGGCCCCCATTGCCTTTGAGTTAGTTGGTGCACAGGATGTATCCCAAGCAATTGGATTTCTGCTCGGATTCATGTCTATACCCATGACTGTGGGCCCACCCATTGCAGGTAAATATAATGATTCTCCTGTATTATATTAATTCAATAGCATTTTCTATTTTAGGTCCTAAGCCTCACTAATGTAAAATACATTGTAATTTATCAATTACGGTCCTTTTATAACTATACTGAAAAAGTTTGCTGGGGAATTTCTCTTATCATTTCTAGCATCTAAAACAATAGAATGTATAAGAGTAAGCTTCTAGGCTTTAAATTTCCACAATTTCTAGGGGCTGGGGTTGTAGCTCGGTGGTGGTAGAGCGCATGTGTGAGGCACTGGGTTTGATCCCCAGTACCACATAAAAATAAAAACAAATAAAATGAAGGTTTAAAAAAATTTTCCACAATTTCTATACTTCACTTAGAGTATGCTTTGGAGTAATTGGGAACATGATATTTTTAAAAGATGAAGATTCTGAAAGATTTCTAAATATACATGCTTTGTGTAAGGGATTGATTATACATATACCCCTGAGGAATAGTTCATAAAATAATATTTAGTGTAAACAACTCTTCATCGACAGTAAATGGGAAAAATGCAGCATATCCATACAATRGAATATCACTAAGCAACTTTTCACTCTTTTATATCATATAAGCTTATCCACTGCAGATCACAAGTAGTGCTTTAGTAGGAATGGTGTTTGCTATCAGAAGTGACTGCTAACAGACCAAGAATAAGGGAGCTAACTGGAACCTTCCAAAGTGAACAGAATAATTATACACTGAAACTGGAAGCAAAAAGTCCTTAACCAACTAGAGGTTCTGAGGACATCATACTCTTAAGGCAAAATCTGATTCAGAGGATAAGGAGGTTGTGTATTTAGAGATATTATATATTTTTTATTTATATCCAGAATGAATATACACATTCATTTCTCTGTGGTAGTAACTAACTAGATAAATCCTCAGCTATTTATTTAACAAAGTCAGAGAAATATTCTGTGTAATATATTCCCTGAACATTTTAGATAACTATGGTTATATAATGGAAGTTTTAAAAAATTAAGAAAACTTTTAAAATCCTGAGTCCTAGGTTTTGTTAGGGAAATTAGAAGTAAGGAGTACTGTAAATAACAGTCTCCAGAAGCAGAGCCCAAAGATCTATTAGAGTGTCAAATACACATTCTTATATTTTCTCCCCAAGAGCTGACAAGCCTTAGTATCTTCCAATGTATGTTTAACCACCTAATTTTTTAATCTTGACTTTTAGATTTACAATTTCTCATGCTTTTGGATTATAATTTAAAAGYGTTTCATGTTATTTATTAAAGGGAAAAAACAGGCTCAATATTGGTTTAAAATATAGATATTTGAGTAAAGTTTCATCTGGATGCTCTGTCCACCTTCAGCTAAGTGTTTTTTTTTAAGTTGTAGTTAGACACAATACCTGAGGATCGAACCCAGGGCCTTGCTTGTGCTAGGCGAGTCTTTACCGCTGAGCACCAGCCCCAGCCCCAGCCCCAGCTAAGTGTTTATATCSTGTGTTTGAATACCTCAAGAGGTCTCTAAGGGGCATTCAGAAAGCTGAAGCTTAGTTGCAAATATTTCTCCCAATTAATATCTTGGTGTGAGAATTCAGAAGCCTGTACTCAGTGATAAGATTAAAGATAGGAGGTCTTTCCTTCTTCATATCAGAAAAGGTTTATATCTCAGATCTGTTTTTTAAAAATGTCTGATATCTGATGTTTGAGTCAGTCCTACTGAGGTGAAGTTATGAGGCTGGGGCTAGGTCATCATTTTGAGTGATCTGAGGACTACTAAGAGCCACACTTGTTCTTTCTTGATGACAGTTTTTTCCCTTCACAGGGTTACTTCGTGACAAACTGGACTCCTATGATGTGGCATTCTACCTGGCTGGAATTCCTCCTCTTATTGGAGGTACTGTGCTTTGTTTTATCCCATGGATCCATAGTAAGAAGCAAAGAGAGATCAGCAAAACTACTGGAGGAGAAAAGATGGAGAAGATGTTGGACAACCAGAACTCTCTGCTGTCAAGCTCATCTGGAATCTTCAAAAAAGAATCTGACTCTATTATTTAATGTCTTATATACCTCCACCAGACTGGACTTGCTTTTGAATTTTAAGCAAGGTTTCCTTTTATATGAATTGCAAATTTCTTATTTTTTTAATCATATCATCAGAATAGCACAATAATTGGGAAATAGAAACCGTATTACTACAAGGACCATTTTCTGCCACTGGATAGCTGTCTGATATTTCCAGGAGTCTGAGGAAAGACTCAGTTGCAGGAAAATATGTCTAAAAGTTAAATATTGTGAACCTTTGAAGTTATCTCAGTCCAAAGCAACTTTGGAAACTGTGAATGCTATTAGCTTGTACAATTATTTTAAAATACCTCAGGCTATACTGAAAGGTTGTGGTTTTGTTAGGTCTGGAAATATTTTGTCTGTTGTCTCACATGGTGTCTTCAGTTCTGGTACTCTGTTTTAATTTCTTCTGCTCTTTGGAAACTTTTTGCAAAATTTAAGCCTGTCTTTTAGATAATACCAGATCTACCTAAACCTCAAGTCTACGTTAAAGTTGCTTGCCTGAGAGGTAGCTGTGTGATCAGAACATACTGACTTGCTCCTGCATTGAGGGACCTTCTGGAAGCAGATGCTAACAATGTATTCAGTATTGATATGTGAGATGAAAAGCATCTGCTTCAGAAGGCAGAGCAGTTCAGGACTAAGGCATTTCTTCTCATTACCTTTGTCCCCTTTGGGTTTGCAGTGAGTTTTATTCAAGTAGCCAGAAGCATCCCAGATTTCTGATTTGTTTTGATAATAAAGTAAAGTAGAATATTTTTACCTTAGATTTATGGATTTTTCTGACTTTTGGATTCTTTAGCACTGGTATTTAAACCAATTCTTACTGAGCAGGTTATCAAGTTGGAGTTACCCGCACAACAGGGAAGGACAAAATCCTTTATATTCATGAAGAAAATATCTTTCTGATAGAAACAATTGCTTAAATAGGTTTAATGAAATTAACCTATTTTATCCCATTGCCCCCAATAGAACACTTATAAAAATTAAATATAGTGTATTACTTATAGTATAAGTATATAACATATAAGATCCATTAACCCATTAAGTCCCAAGTTTTTAATTATGTGACTATTTCAACAACATTGACACAGGTGTATTAAAATAGGCTGGAAATAATAACCTATTTAAATGATATGTTATGTTAATTATATATTATTATATTAGTTATACATAATATATTAATAATATATAAGCTCTAGGTTATGATTTTTAACCCACTTTTTTTTAGAGAGAGAGAGAGAGAGAGAGAGAGAATTTTAATATTTATTTTTTTTTTTAGTTTTCAGAGGATACAACATCTTTGTTTGTATGTGGTGCTTGGAATCGAACCTGGGCCGCACGCATGCCAGGCGAGCGCACTACCGCTTGAGCCACATCCCCAGCCCCTCAACCCACTTTAATGTACCTGTGTCAATTTCATTAAATTCTTTGCAGAATTGAAAACTTGGGACTTAAGAGGTCAATGGGGGAGCTGAGGATGTGGCTCAAGCAGTAGCTCACTCGCCTAGCATGCACCACATACAAACAAAGCAYCACATACAAACAAAGATGTTGTGTCCGCTGAAAACTAAAATAAATAAATAAACAAATAAATATTAAAATTCTCTCTCTCTTAAAAAAAAAGAGGTCAATAGGCCTTAAAAAGTTAAAGTATTAATAACAGAGAATTCCTACATTTCCAAAATTTTCTCGTAAAAATTTACATTCATGTATGAGTCATACATAACTTAATGACCTGGGACAAATTTTAAGAAATGCATCATTAGCTGGTTGTAGTGGCACATGCCTGTAATCCCAGCAACTTGTGAGATTGAGGGAAAAGGATCATAAGTTTGAAGCCAGACTCAGCAACTTAGTGAGACCCARTTTCAAGAAATGCATCTGTAGACAGTTTCATTGGGCAAACACAGATTGAACTTACACCAAGATAGTTACAATTTTACTAAGCAATATAATCTTATGGGACCATCATTATATATATAGCCCAGCATTAACCAAAAAGTTGTTAATGTGGTGCTGTGTTTATCCTCRTATGATCTCCATTAATATTTCTGTTACTTTTTTATTTATAAATATTGTTATAAGAAAACTATTAGTTTTGAGTACCCCAAATTAAAAAACCAGCTATGTTGTGACACATTATCCACTTATAAAAACTGGAACACTTCCTTATATTTTAAAATTATACTTCAATACTTTAGACTTTTAAAAATCTATAATATGCAAAGTATATTTCAATCTTAAGTATAGATGAATATTAGATCTTTATTCATCTATTTCTAAATTATCTGTAAGGTAAGAAAATTTTATTAGCTCACTATTTTTCTTTTCATCTTCTATTATCTTTAAAAGGCAAAGTCCTACTCTTACTTCAGCTAAGAATGGAACTATCTGGAGAGCATTTGGATTTGTAGTTGTTGGCTTGGGAGGGGGGCTTGAAGGATGTGAGGCTGTTAATTGAACAGCTGGAAAATCCATTGACTTTTCAGTATAAGCTTTCTCACTTGCCACTTTGAAAGTTCATAGTGTAAATGCTAAATATGAAATTTATTTTTAATAGGATCTTAAATAATTTTGATTGTGAAGATATTCAGCAACTTACCAGCCCACACAAATAGTTGCAATTTACTACTACCCCCTACCCCAACCCCTGTACTAGGAATGGAACCCAAGACACTCTACCACTGAGCTACATTCCTAGCCCTTTTTGTTTTATTTTGAAACAAAGTCTTGCTAAATTGCTGAGGCTGGCCTTGAACTTGCAATCCTGCTTCAGCCACCTGAGTAGCTGGGATTATAGGTATGTGCCACCATGCCCGGCTGCAATTTACTACTTCTAATAGTTTCATATTCAGTGGTCTTTGATAATTTGTTTGCAAAAGATTCTGTGGCAGGAATTTTAAAACTACATTTTGATTACACTGCCCTTTCATGTTTGTGTTTCATGATAGTATAGTATATTAAATCCTTCATTTATTCACTCCCAGTTATCCAAGATATTACTTTCATTCCACAACATTATCACATTTTTGAAAAGTTCAGTAAAAACATACAATTAAAACCAGTCATCAAATTTGCCATTATAAAAATCTTCCTTCCTTCCTTCTTTCCTTCCTTCCTTCCTTCCTTCCTTCCTTCCTTCCTTCCTTCCTTCCTTCGCAGAGATTTCAAAAGAACACCCCTCTACACACACACACACACACACACACACACACACACACACACACATTTTACAGAAAGACTTAATTCTAAAATGGAAAAGACCTATAAAGACCTCAAAATTGCTTTTTCTTTCAAAATCTGGCTAATTTTTGAGATGGAAAAAGATAATATGAAATCTGAAGACTTGGTCTTGCTTGGTTAGTGACTTAAGTATTTAAATAAAAACTTAGATCTCGGCATATTGTGTTTGTGTATGATAATACATATAAGAATAGTATATAAATAGTTTTCAGTTTAATGAAATGAATCAAACTATCTGTAACACTGAAAGGGTTCACTTGTAATAGAATTTCATGGAGAATACCCTGAAGTCAGAATAAAGGGTAAGATGCTAAATTCCACTAAATAAACATTTTGGAATGTGTTATTTGGTAAGAAATTTCTAAAAGTCTAAAATATACAAACCAAGAAAGATGAAAAATAAAGATTGGTGTTTTAGATTTAAAAAAAAATACTTCGTTAGTCAAAGTAAATCTAATTTCAGAACCTGCCTAAGGAACCCACCTAAGGTCACTGTTGTATCATGTGACCTGGTGAGGTCTTCTTGTTCATTCCCAGATACTTCTCTGAGAGGAAGAGAGTACAGTGTCAGAATTCATTCTGATAACACTTAGCATATTCTCAAAGTCAAGAGTAAAATGAGAAAGGGAACAGTCATTTTTCTTTATAGAAATTTTGAGTCAGACTATTGTAACAGATGCTTAAGGAGCTCCCAGAAAGGTTTTGGTTAAATTTTACTGTAGTGGAAGTTTAATAATACATCACCCAGATTATTGATACTTCATTTGAAATTTGTAGATCTCTTTGATCATTGTCTCAATGTTTACTCTATAACCCTGTTACAAAATCTGTGATTTCCACTGAAAATTGCATAGTGCTTGTGGTAAGCTTCAAATTCTATTTATAAATAAAAATGAGGCTTCATTTACATTTCATGATCCATAAGTCATCAGTGTATCCATATCCATGATTGCAGATGGCTTGCCCAAGTATACAGAAATTTTTTATGCTATTAGCTTCAACTTTCCACACTTTCAAAGTAAATGTACAACTTTGTTATAAAAAGTAAGTGTGTTTTCTTTTGATAACTGTTATCCTTTTAACTGCATTTGTTTTCTTTTATAGAGTGTTATTGTATACTGTCTTATGTCCAGGTGGAGTTTAATGTTTAGTCAATAAAACTGCATAGAAAGTGTGATATAAGGTTAAGGGTAGGCAGTCTATAACATGGRTGGCCCTGAGGAGTTCCTACCAGTGAACCTGTTCATCTGTACCTTATTTCTTACTGTTTTCCTCATCATTCTTTCTCTTTTCTTTACTTCCCACCATCCTTCAAAAACCTCCTGAGGAGCCTACAAATGTCCTCATTTAGTTGCTTAGCTGCACTGCTTATTGCCCTGTAGTTCACAAAATGGATCCCAGCCCAGTTTTGTATAAATTGAAGAATGGCTTGTTCATAGTGTTGAGCTTATAATTTTAATGGTCTRCAATGATTTTTTAAATTACACGATTTAAATATTTAAGGGTACTGCTGTTTCATGTAATTGTCAACTTTTGAGCTAACTTCTAAAGCTTTAAACATTGAAGGTAAATGCTTTGAAGAAAAAAATTGCTAGTTTTTAGCATAAATATTTCGAGAGCATAATTGCTTAATTTGGTTTTCATATTCCATTAAGGTTTTATTGAATCTTAGTCTTGAAAGCACACTATGGCGGATGACTTGGAATGTAGTGAGCCTCCAGAACCTGCCTAAGGAACCTGCCTAAGGTCGGATTAATTACATTTTATGCTGACTGGTCTCAAAGAAAAATCCCAGATTTTACAGATACAAATGGAAATGCATGAACTCATTAGCTTCAATTTTAAAATATGTAAACAAGTACTTAAAACGCTTCAGGAAATTTCTAATACTGAAAACTGGCAAAACATTCCTGGCAAAACATTAAGGAACAATTTTTGTATTAGGTCAAAGATTGTTGCTTTTCCAGTGTGTTGCCTTCAAAGGAGGAAGTAAAATGTTATTACTTTGTTTTTACATCTATTTTCCTTTTCYTATTTGAAAAATAAGTACTACCTTTGCAAATAGGGGTGGGGGAAGCATTTAAAAAAATTTAACTCTTCAAAAGACAAACTTTTTGTCACTTGTAAAACAAAAGAACAATTTTTCAGTCATACTAGTAGTGTGGTAGCATGGGATAAGAACACATTACAGAGCTGGGTGCAGTGGTGCACACCTGTGATCCCAACAACTCAGGAGCCTGAGGCAGGAGAATTACAAGTTCAAGGCCAGCCTCTGCACTTAGCAAGACCCAAAATAAAAATAAAAAAGGTTGGGGTTATAGCTAAGTGGTAAAGCACCTGTGGGTTCAGTCCCCAGTACACACACCATTGAGGAAAAACCTGCTACTTTACTGACTTATTGGTTCGCTTTATGATATTCACTGATTTTTGCTGATTGTTGAGATAAAAAGAGTACCTGGAGCTGAGTTTGAGAATGTTCCAGGGGCAAATAAAAACAAGGTGGACAGAT